CAACACTCCCTCCCCAGCCGTTTCTTCCACCTTCCTGAGCCTTGAAAGCGTCTCCGGGTGCAATGGGAACGCTGCTGTCACAGTGAGTCAGCTGTTTCTGTGGGTGCTGCCCCACCAGCGCTCCTGGTGTGTTACATTACCTTGAGGTGGGTAGGGAGCAGATCCAGGAGAACGCTGAGTCCCAGCTACATTGGATTCTGAAATATGATGAGGTTGTCTTGGGTCTAGAAATGTCTCTGCTTTGCAAGTTCAAGAACTTAATTTTATGAGTATGCCCAAGTTTGCGTGGATCCTGAAGGCTGATTCACGTGAATCACACTCATGAAAATATGATAAACTAGATACCAATTTATTAATTTATAATTCATAATGTATTAATTTGTGATGCCTGGCACTATAACTTTGAACAGATTCTGCAAAAGGAACATGATGGACAGATGTAATATGCAAAATATTTATCAGCCTGAAAGGCATGGGTACCAGTTAATGAGATGGACCCACAATCATATTAGGGAGATGTCCACCCTGGAAATGGGGGAAGGAGTGAATATTTGAGTCACTCTACCACCTGCCAGTCACAAAAATATGATCAATTTACTTTTTTTCATTGAAAACATACAGAGACCCTTTAAGGAAGCATTTAAGAAACTAGGGCTTAGAAACTTAGACAACTTGTCCTTGGTCCCCCAGGTAGTGAAGATAGAGTGTGATTTTAAGCACAGGTCCATGCGCACCATATTGCAAAGGAAAGCTCCCCCTGGTAAATTCACAGCGGAAACAACTTTAGATCAGATGGTCAGCTAGTGTTGATATGACAAAAGCAAAGGATACCATGATTTCTTAAAGGAATTATTTAAATTCTTAAAGACTTTTCCTAATGAATGATACTAAAAACTAAGAGCTTGGCATTTATTTTATTTTGGCAAGACTGGGCTCAAATGTCTCAGCTCTCTGGACCATCAGGGTCATTTTCCATGTGGCAAACCTGGCTGTTCGCCAGCGCTTGGCAGGAACAAAGCTGAAATAAAAGTGCGGCATCTTATTTCTGAGTGATGCTTCCCAACTTTGGTTGCACATTAGGAAGACTGGGAAGCTTTTAAAAAACATTATTTAGGACAACTGCCACCCGCCTTCAGTTAAAAATAATCTTGTGATATCTTCCCAGGTGATTCTAGTGTGAAGCCTGTGTGGAACTACTGTTCTACCAGTGTAGTGGGGCCACTCAAGTGTCCATGTTCCCACGTCAATCCTCTGTCAATTACTCGTCCATGATGAGATAAGTACCACTCCTGAGAGAGTTGTATAGTTTTTATATTCATTTATATTTTACTAAAGAATCAGTCCGTGATGTATTCAGGGAGGGGAAGAGGCTTCCCCGCAGATGGTTTGGGAAGCACAGCTCAACACCAAGTTTTAAGGGTCACCCACCATACAGATTCAGGCAACACTAAGTCACAAATCATTTAAAGTATATAGCCAAAAGCTGATTACCTTCATATTAGGCAAAGATAACACTGATACTAAGCTACTGTATTAAGGCAAGTTATGTCAGCCAGTTTTAAATCCAAAGCTTACAAATTTTAATCCAGGAATAGCCTGTTTAACCAAACATCTTTAAAACTTTTTTTTATGAAATGTTGTTTTGCTTTAGATGCCCCAGGCTTCAGGGTGGGGCCTATCCTTAGATGCCCTCCCAAGACCTCGATTTAGCAACGCCCAGGAAACCTTTCATGCCAAACAAAACAGAAAATTTATTCAACAAGTAGCTCATCAAACAAGCATTGTTAAAGAGCAGAGTCATGGTGAGACTGCAACTTCCCTCCAGCAGGGCAGGAGGAAGCCAGAGTATGTGAACAACTACTTGATTCTCTCTCTAGTACCAAAGGTCACCTGTGATCAAGAGAGCTTGCCTGGGCATATGAAAAAGGAGAGAACTGAATCAAATCGGAATCTGAGAAACTCAGTTCAATTGGATCTCCTAAAAGTCACAAATGCTATTGTTATTGTCGTAATTAGCTGGCTAATATTAACAATAGGAAGAGTGCAAAGGGGAGGCCAGGCATTATGAGCATGGTCATTTGGGAAGCTTCACCAGAAAGCTGCAACTTCACACAGCATTGTTCTTCCAAGGGGATTAGACCCCTCCCTTCCCCCATCTGGTACTGAATTTTTGCAGGGAGAAGGGGAGATGGGTACATGTGCAGTGAAGTTGGGGTAATGTAGGGAGGGTGCTTGCCTGTCAGTCTAACCTGGGAGGAAATAATTGGCTAGAGGGGTAGAACCACTGCAAGTGCATGAAATCCTGAAGAGTTAATTGGTTAAACTGCTAATTATAAGCCCCAAAGCGTTCTCTCACTCTTGCACTCCTATTGCTCTTCTTTGCTCTGTAACCCGCACTTGCCCGAGTGCTAAACCACAATGTGGCCTTAAACAGCCGCATGGCCCATGGCCATGCAGAACCCACACACGATGGCCTGCAGCTGAGAACACAAACTAAGCTAGCCAGATGCTGGACTGGACTGGACTTTAATATGGAGCAAAGACTCTAGGCCAAGCATGTCCCACTCAAAGGCTAACAGGCCAAATAAACCAGGCATGCTGGCTGCGAGTTTGACATGCTTGTTCTAGGCAATAGCTTTAGTTCTTGACCTGCTGAAGCAAAATTAGAACTTTTCCCCTGATGGGAAGAAGGGAAATAAGACATTGAAAACCCAGAAGTTTAATTCCACGTAATCAAAAATTATTCTCCTTGCAAGTCTCAGGAAATTCCTTTCCTTGCGACATTGCAAGAATTCCACTTCCACCGGCCACAGGTGGGGACACAATGGGCACTCCACCAATAACATTGCCAGTGTAAATGCTTATTCATTTATTCAATCACTAAATGAATTCCATTCATTCCACAAGAATTTATTAGTTTCTACTAGGGGTATAGGTGTTAGGATATTGGTGGTGGGGTCAGGTACTAAAATGATTATGAGGTAAGTTCTGTTACAAGAAACTTAGAATATAACAAATTCTTAATAAACTTTTGTTTTAGCGAAATAACCCTAGAAATATCTTTTGAAGAAAGGTCAAGATAAAACATGGGCAACAAAGCATGAGCATTCTTTAAATCTTGTCTGAGCATGCATGCTTGCATGCATGCACGCACTCGCACACACACACAATGCACAGACCAAGTACATTGTCTAAATAACAAAAAGGACCAAACGCCCTACTTTCCCAGTGTGGTGATTTAAAAAACATGTTCACAATCCCTGGATACTCTTCCCTTAACCAAGTGGAGCTTCCCCTCTCCTTGAGTGGGCTGAACTTAGGGACTTGATTCTAATGAAGAGAATCAGGTGGAGTTGATGATGTGTAGTCTGAAACTAGATCATAAAAGTCATTGGAAATTATTCCTTCATGTCCTCTCTCTCATGGATCCCTCAAACTGAGGTAAGTCATGTCCTGAGGAGCCCTGTGGAGAGAAACTGAAACAATGTGAGATTGGAAGTTG